TGGCGGCGCACATAATCACCAATCAAAAGGTGTCGATGCAGCAACGACAGGAGCAGCAGCACTGGGCGGGAGTCTCACAAAAAGCGAGCATAATTGAGTTATTTACGCTAATTGACACACACACACACATACACATAATCAGGGGCAGAGACGTTTGTGTAAGCCTCTGACATAAATTGCCAGCGTGCTGCGGTGGACCGCAAAGTTTGCACAGCGCACGTGACTGACAAATAAACTGACTGACTGACGGACTGACTGACTGACTGATAGACTGACAGACTCGAGACTTAACACGTATGGTGCAACGTTATTGTGCCACGTGTCGTTGTGCCTCGAATTTCATATTTCATTCCAAATACGGGGCGGGCTGGGCGGTTTGGCAAGTTGAAACGTTGCCTGTTTCCTGTTGCTGTACGTTGCACACATCCGCTGCCTGCCAATCGCACACGAAATTATAATGCATGTGGGCGTGGCACTGACTGAATGCAACAAGGCTTTCAGCCGGGCCCAGAGACTGGCACAGCCACACGGCCAGAACTAGGCGCCAGCCACATTGCCAAATGCAATTACAACTATTCAATTTGCCGCGTTCTCCCACAAAATTGAAGCATTTCATTTGTGCAACCAATTTACGCGGCAAACAGAAAGTGCATATTGCGACCAACTAGTCGCCAAATTAAGCCAAAGCCTTAGGGCCCTGTTGAGCATGTGTTAGCGAGAAGTGACAGGCAGAAATGAAAAGCAACATTTGCTATTATAAAAGACGCTTGACTGGTAAATTATTATTTGTATATATATTTTATTAGATGAAATTTAATCCGAATCTAATATATAAAAATTACAAAAAGCAACAAAATTTGTTTAAATAATTTATTTACTGAAAAGAAAAACACCTAAAATTAAAATATAAATTACGAGAGTCGACTATATAAGCAAAATGTATTTATTTGTTGAAGCTTTCGGCAGGAAACTAGATTTTTCAGGTGACTAAATAATAATAATAGTCTTGTTTATAGGCACTAATGTCTATATAAGACAGCCAATTGTTGTCTAATAAATCTAAGTATTAAGTCAAAAATAATCTAAACTTATAAAAAAATGCTTGAACCTGTTTGCTGATATAAAATAGCCCAGATTTTACAAGATAATCTGATGTATACAAGTAAAATTTACCTTGCCAAAGAAACTCCGCGTTTCGCCTTGTTGTGGAACGCAACTAACCACAACTTTGATCATGAATGGAAAATGCCTTTCGTTAACACACTTTCGAGTGCATTTGCGGAAGTGGAAGCTCATAAGCTGAAGCGACTACAAAAAAGTCATTAAATTTGCTTAATGCCGCTTAAGCGCCGCCAAGTTCTTTACGTCAAATGTATACAGACGTCGTTTATATCCATTTTCAATACTTAAAGAGCACGTGCTAAACGACCTCATTATTACAGCCATGGACTAGTCAGCATTATAAAAAAAAAGGGCAAGCGTAATCTTAATCTGATTCACTATAACGTGGTCACACAAAGCGCTGCTTGAGCTTTTAATGAGCCAATAACGAGGTTCTTTAAGGAACTTCAATGATTTTTCGCCTGAAATACGGTTTGTTATTTTTGCAAAAAATAATTGATCATCGAAGCGCATTTTAAAGATTTTCATTTATCAACCTATTGTATATATATATTTGTGCAAGATTTTAGATATGACACACATGAGTGCACATTTCTCAACCGGCTTTGATTGATGAGGGTTTTAGTTTAAGGAATGCTCATATTTTTGGAAAATTATTGACAAGAATTTAATTGCATTAAAACGTTTAAGGAGCCTAATAAATCTAACCAGAATTATGTTGATATTTATTTAGCGAAATTTGTGTTTCTCCAAAGCCAAAATTTCCTTTTAAATTAGCCCAACTCAATTTCTGTTCACACTTTATCTGTTCTGCCGCAGGGAGATATATTTCTTTTTAGGCTGTCATCCAGGCAAAGCCGCATTAACGTCAACACACGCACACCCAAACTAACCGACTGACGTTTAATTCGATGAAAATAATAAAACAAAAAAAAATGCGTCAAAGTTCGCACAGCTTTGCGTCGAATGATATTAAAGTAATAAAAGCCAAAAAGATTGAGCTACAATCAGAGACAACGGAATAACAGGATAATAAACTTCAAGTGCTTTAACTAAATTAAAGTGACCGACGGCCTGTGACGTCCACAAAATTTCATTTCAGACGTTTATAAAAGCGCCGCTTGACATCCGCTCAACATGGCGTATGCGTAATTTTGTGTTATTTTTGGCCTCAAGCGCTCACATTTAATTTGTTAGCTTTTATGCAAAGCAATTAACGATTAAATGCGGCAAACATCATTTTGGATCAGACAAGTCATAACAAAATAGGAGAAAGCATAATAATAAAAGACAAAATCCAACAAAAACCTAAACAAAACACAAAGAAACGTGCCCTAAGGCTTATTTCACAAAATTATGCGAATAATATAAAAGAATTCAATACAAATATAAAATAAAAACATTAAGGCGTTAATAAAAAATACAATATAAGAGCCTAGCTGCATTTGAAGTCATAAATTATTTAATGTGCGAGCATATGTTAATATAAAATGTTGCCAAATAAAATCATTTTGAAATTTTTTATTGAAAGTTAAAATTACGGACGAATGCGGGTTTAATTAAATGGAAAATGTAATACATTTTTTTTTTAAACCGCAACCGACTTTAGTTAGACTTTCCGAACTTAATTTGTAAACACATTTTAAGTTCTGTCTCAAGAGGTTTTATTTAAATTGAAAACTTTTAAATATACTCCAAGCAAATGAATAAATTTAATCCTAATTTTTATATACATTTTAAGGAAAGCTAAAAAGAATATGTCTTTAAGTTGCCAAGAAGTTAACCAGCTAAGCGAAACAATCAAAGAAACAGGCCCGTTTATATAAATATATTTATAAATGGCTTTACAAGCTCGCTCCGATAAGCTATGCAATAGGGATAACAAAGACAGGCCTGGGGTCTGGCATTGTCAGCAATGCTGGGCGAAATGAAAGCAAATATTTCTGCAACCTTTTTCTTTATTTGTTTTTTTTTTTTCTTTTCATTTATTATTGCTGTAGCCGAAACACGCACGCAATCAGCCGCAGAAACTGTGCCCTCGAGGGCGAGCAGATCCCCTATAGACCCCCTCACCTTAGCTGTCAGATAAATGCCTTGAATAAGGTGCAGCTGACGCCGGAGTTGGAGCTGTGGCAACCCATGGACTTACCTTTCATCCAGACGCATGCTGCTGCGACTTATGTCACTCCAGACGGACATGGAGCGGGGTCGCTGGAAAAATGATTTGGAAAAGCGTCGCACGGTTGGCAATTGCTGCGGCGGATAACCCGCCAGATCGTTGAGCTCCTCATTGAAGTTGACATTGCGCGTGTTGATGCCGCCGCCCCCGCCGCCGTTACCGTTGCTGCCGCTGCCGTTGCCGCCGCCGGCGCTGCGTGTGGGCGATGCTATCGATGGCATCGAATAGCTATTCGTATTCGTTTGATTATCGTCCGACATGCCCAATGCTGTATAACTAACTTGTAGATTGTGTGTCATCTCTTGGATATGTATGGCCAGATACTCTTCATGGACTTTTCACCAACACTCAGCGTATTTTTCACTGCACCTTTTCACATTGTTTTGCATTTCTTATCGACATTTTCACTGGACATGAGAAATAAATTTAAGAATTTCCGCTGCGTTCGTTGCCTTGGCATGGCTCGATAAATACTAAAAAACCGACTTTTCCATTCAGCTGCCATTATAATTGATTTTAATACAAAATGCGCGCTGGGCAGTTCATTAAACACAATCAACTGGCAGCTGGGCTAATAAAAAACAACAATTGAGCTGGCAGACATTCGCACTGTGTGCCCAAGTGACAATGATGAATCGTTGCAACCTCTGACCTCCAGTGCATCTTCCTGTTATTGTTGTTGTTGTCGTTGGCTAATTGAGTGCAGCATTCAAGAGTGCAGCAAGTCAAATGACTGCAAATCCATCAAATGTATAGAAAATAAATCCTGAGAACTTTGCTAAACAATCTTCAAAGAAACTTGAGCGAAGATTGTTTCGAATGCGCCTCTTTAATTTGTCACGTCTTTGCAATATATTCTGCTTACGCTCTTTTTTTTTCTTCTTAAAGCCCATAAACACGTCGCCGAGCGAAAATTGTGTGCCGGCAAAATTTGAAATGAAAAGCATTTTAAATGCTCATGAATTCTTAATGAGTGCGCGTTCGTTCTGACTGTCTCAGGTATTCGAGGGTGTGCCTATCTACGCGTACTAGCTATATTTCACATGTCACACATTTCATATGCATAATGAAACATAATGCCAAAAGTACACACACACTCGCACGCTCAGAAATCCCCACACACACACACACGCACATACACAAAGACCCGGACACTTCCTCGACTGCAGTTTGGCCAGATAAAGCCGAAGGAAAGCCCCTAATTAAAGTGTTACCCACTTTTCAGTTTCAATTTCAGTTGCTGATGATGATGACGCTGTGGTTTTATACCCTGTACACAATGGCATCACAGAGTATACATACCGGAGAAATCTTTAACAATATAGAATTTAGCAAACCTAAGTTGATTTGTGAGAATCTAAGGGTAGTACTGCAATGGGGAAACACAGTTTTCCAGTTAACTTTACAAAATAAATTGCAAATATTTAAGTATTTCTTGGGCTAAGGTACCTTAAATATTTGTAATATACTCCTTCACATACTGTGTGTACAGGGTATATACATATATATATACAGGGTATCTATCAGCCGCTTCGCTTAACAAAATAAAAGTCTTTGCTAAGTGTTTTTACTGAAACATTTCGTTTTCGTATTATTTTTTTTACATTTTATGCCAAGGCTTCGTAAAAAATGTTATTATATGACCACTCTTTAGATACTTGGGTTTTATTTATTTTTTTTTTTTTTTGTCATTTTGCAGACGGCAGACCCAGAGCCGCAGATGAGCCCAAAAAAGAAAAAAGAAAAGTTATTTAGCATTTACTGGGAGTGATCCATGAAGTCTTTAAAAAGTTGCCAACTTTACTGGAAATGGGCAGAAATGGGCGTTCAAATGGACTTGCATACTAAATAGGCTTGGATAAGTAGCTCAATTAAAAGTATAATCAAGGAAAAAAAACTGCGACTAAATGTGGCCACGCCCTTTAAGTACTTTGACTTTGTCGCCGGACCTATATATATTTTTTTTTCTATTTTTTGTTGTGTTGGCGACGCCTTAAAATAAACACATACTAAGCATGCGATTCGCTTTCTGCTCTTTTTTGCTCTTCTTCATAACTTTGAATTGCCAGACAAAAGGCAAAAAGCTGAGGGCACTAAATAAATATCTATGTATATATATCTAGCTATAGATGCGTGGGCGTATGCGTGTGTGGCTGATAAATGGCAGCTCATTATGTGTAGTTTGTGCACCCTGTACCCAGGAATATGGCTATTGAAGCGAGCTGTGGAAATGTTTACAAGCGACAGAGGAAGAGTGTGCCAAACCTATAAGGTGTATTTATTGCTTATCAGCGACAATAACTAAGTTAATTTATATATTTAGTCTTCTATTCTATATGTCTGATATATATTCATATTATATTTACAACAGATTATAAACGATTATATTTTATGGGTTCGACTGGAAAGGAGCGATAAATCGATATTATACATCTCAAGTGCTATAAAAGCTCTAAGTAATCAATCGATATAATTCCAAAGATATCGGTTGACGGCAACTTGGTAATAAGAAATCGATGACAGTAGAGAAATATATTTTATTATTCATGTTCTTTCAGTCTGTTAGATACACAGATTATTGAAGAGCGCTACTTAATAATTCTTTCGATAACATATCGATATTTATTGTTTTTTTTTTAGAAATTGCTTAGTTTTTGCTACAGGATATTTTCTAGTCGAACACCCTCAAAATTCGCATTTTGTTGCTTGTTTCCTCTTGGGTGCCAGCCAAATGGAAAATGCTCCCCAACTGCAAGCCGCAGCATATCAAACAGTTTAATCATGATGGAAAATATTGTTGCAGGGGTGAAAATAGCGCAATAAGCGGAGCTGAGGCTAGGGTGTACCCAACATTAATCTCTCAAAATGCAGCGCACTGAGATTCTTGGCATATGTAGCACACGCTGACATCGAAGCAAATCGATAGCCTTGCTGATAGCTGAATACCCTGTGCCACATGCCTTATCAATTAATAAACTTCTGGCACCTGCTGCAACGCGTCAGTTCCGTTTGACCCAGGGCGAGGGACTGGGTAAAAGGGAGGATGGGTGTGAGCTTTTGCTTTAGAAATATGAAACAATTTTTATATTCCGTGACTTCCGTCATTTGTGGGCCGAGTGTAACTGTAGCTGTTACATTACAACGCCGTCATTTTATTGTATTTGCCATTCACCTTTAAGGCCAACAGAAATGGCAGCTGGCAGCGCGGAAATGCCATTCACTTGGTTACTGTGTAAACATTCTGCCTGGGAATTATGCTCGGGTCATAAACGGTATAACAATTGTCCGTCTTTGTGGGTAAACGCACATAATAATATGCTAAAAATATCCGAGCGCAGGCCACGAATAATAAATACGCTAACAAGAGTTTATCTTGGTAAAACTCTCATGCAAAATACAACTGGTAAAATGCAGATCATATGCCCAAATGCTTCCAATGCGAAAGATCGCAGATATATGATAAAGTGTTACGCTGTCGATAAAATATTGCATTTATGTAATGAGCATGCCGAAAGTTACACGGAGATGGAAATTTCTCTTTCTCTGCGTTACACATCTCATTAAAAAATTATAATATCCTCTACAAGGGTATAGAAACGTAATCCTAAACGAAATAAATATTGAAGGAAAGTTTATTAAGTATATACATAAATAGTTTAAACGCCTTGCATAGAATATTTCCGGGCTTAAACCCTTTCTTATTATTCAAAGAGTACCCTAAACACTTTGCATGATTTTATCTAGTAAACGCAAAGCTAACTGACAAGGTTTATTTTATATTAAATATTAAAGCTTTAAAATTTGTTATTTAATATTAAAAACCATATAAAAGAGAGCTAATGTCTTTTACTCCTACAGAGAATTATCCACAACTGAGTTTTACATTAAGAAGCAACCTAAAAGAAAACAGTTTTTAGAATTTACATAAAATATTTTTTATTTTTTTTTTATTTTTAACTTAATACTCAAGTGCCACTCGTATCAAATCTATTAACCCCACGTTTATATCTTTTACTAGCTATACAATATATCATTGCAACACATTTAACATTTAATACCTTGGTGTACTTCATTTCGAACAACCTAATCTCTCAAATTCTCAATTATTTATGTTTTATGGCTTGTGCTTTTTCAAAGCATCCAGCGAGGCCACAAAATCGTGACACCTGCAGCAAGGGTACACTGCGTAAGGCCCCGACAGTCTGAGAAGTGTGACACGTTCAGATATTTATGTGCACGTAGCATTATAGCTAAAGCCATATATCAAGGTCACAGACCCCGCTTTAGTATGCATGAGCAAACAACAATAACAAACAGAAATAAATAAATAAAACCATATGCGCATAATCCTCAGCTGACGTACTGCCTAAGACCATCAAAAAGTTGTTATTGGGCGGGTAAACTCCGAAAAACCTCGCTCGGGTTAACCTTTTGCATGTGGAATTAGGCGCGGTAGCCAAAACGGATGCTGGTCAACATTAAACGCAGTTGTCACTGGTTTATTACCCTCATCAGCTTTCAACCTTATGCACAGCGAATGACCCCTTTCAGCATTATAAAGTATATGAATCAAGCATAGACAAAAAAGGCTGCTCAAACACAAGGATTTTCTTCTAGGAGCAGCCCGTTTACAGATGTTTTAGATAAATTTCATTAAGATTTCTTTTTACATTTGAACGTTTACATACGCTGTATCCTTTGATTTCATAGAACGGATACTTTCCTATTATCTAATTCATGTAACTGACTTCCCAAAACATCTCTGACAACATAACTAATCTTCATACGCAGTTCAATCTTTTTCCTAACTTGTCTTTTATATTCTTACAATATAAATTGTATATGCAAGCCTTCATTTCTGTAGCATACGTAGCAAGACTGTCATTAGGATTCGGGTACAGGGTATCTGTTAGTCGTGCGTTATCGGTAAGAGTACTCTTAATTCTAATTTAAACATTCTTCGTTTTGCTTTGTAGTCGTTGCCAAGTGCCAAATTGATTTGTGGCCCAGTGAACTTTTTGAGGTTGGCGAAAATTGAATTTTTATTTCGACTTAACTTCTTTGGCAGCTAAAATACGCAGAGCACGGTAAATTCGCACCTGTGTGTGGGTGTGTGTGTGTGTGTGTGTGTGTGAGCCAAAAAAGAAAGAAATTAGCAATTCAAACAAAGCAACTTTTGTAATCTAAGAAAACTCGGTAGCTGTTTGTTTCCCTTTGGCTTTTGTGCGGCTCTTGGCCGGATTTGAGAGCGCGTCTTAAAGGGTGTTAAAGCCAAAAGCTGACTGAAAATATGCTATAAGAGCTATAAATAACTGTTTCTTACTATGGCATAAACAAAAAGGTTTTTGGCATCAAAACAAAAGCAAGTTTTGCTGCACCAAGTAAAAGTTTATTGCAAACTTTGTGCCAATCGAATGGTTTTCTGTGTCATAAATTCTTAAGATATTAACGATGAAACTTTCGAATGCCCAACACATTATTCGGATTTTTCAACTTGATTACAATGGCTAAAATCAATTTTCACCCTGGCTAACTCCTGAGTGCATAAGCTGCGAGCTATTTAAATTTCATCAACTGTTAAATTTGGCGCTGAAATCCATTTTTTTGGCAGGCTCCGGACGGCCAAAGTGCTAAGAGCCAAAAAACTTGGCCAAGTTTTGGCAGCTCTTAAATTACATAAATGGCCCGTGATATCAGCCGAGTTCAGCTAAAATCACTTAGCTGTCTGTGTGAAACTGACGGAGCCGAGCCAATACCAAAAACACAAGCATCGCAGCAAATGGACGAATACAAAATCTGAACAAATAGTTCGAAAAGTAAGACACACACGCTCTTACACGCTCGCCCACACAGATAATGTTGTTACAAATCGTTGCTGGCAGCGCCAACTGACCCAAGTGCTAACAAAGAACAAGAATTAGACAACTCTATTGCCGGCTTGACTATGAGATACCCTGTAAATGAGAGAAATGCAAACACCTAAAACGATCCTTAATTGATTCTTACCGCCAGGTAGACACAGGGAAGACAACTTGGCGCTTTTTATCGCCTGGAAGTACATTAACATATAGTTTAGCATTGTTTGATTCAGCATTCATATCGCAATGGTAACGTCCAAAGCGATAATTTGACGACATCAAACATTTAAATAATCTTATTTGCGATAGGATTGTATCTCCCATGTAAAAGCGATTCCCAACAGCCACGCGAGAAACCTATACTAACCTCTCAAGACCAAGGAAGATACGAATGCGATATGAAAGCGATAGTTCTCTTGTGGTTACTTAAATTTTCAACATACACATCCGTATACCTCTCATACTAAATTCCAGCCACAGGGCAAACAAAAAAAAACGCACACGATATGAGATTAGGGATTACAGCGACGAGTTAGGACAGCGTGTTAAGTTGTATGTTATGGACTATACAGTATGTTATACATTTAGCAGCAACAATAAACAAGTGCAGAAAAAGAGAATAAAAAAAAAAAACAGAACGCCACACACGCACACAACAAGGGGCGGGGCAAGTAAATAGTCGCACGCACAGCCTCCTTTTTTCTGAATATCATAAAAATCAGCTTCGACACGCATCAGCGTCCAAAATGGAAATGGAAAATATTCTGTGGGGTCAGCAAGCAGATGTTAAGCCTGACATATATGGTCTGCCATAATTACGATATTAAATTTCCAAAATAAAACAGCAGTAAAAGTTGCAGAAGCAAACGCGTGGCCATTAAGCGATATTCAAGCTGAAACCAAAAAACACTTATATTTTATTAGCCGAAGGGCAACAACAAAATAGATGAGCATAAGTAAGTTGACAAAATTCAAATTGTGCCCTGGCTTAAATACTCTATAAGACTTTTATAGAACAAGAATTTTAAATATTACGTAAACCAGTTGCCCAAAACGATGTCGAGTCTTCAACCAAAACTAACAAATTAATAAGAATCTACAAGAAAAAACACCTTTGACCTTTAATCAAATTTATATTTATAAAATAATTTCTAGCATGGTAC